AAGGGGGAGTAGGGCCAGCGTCAAACATCTGTCATGTGCTAGAAACCCAGGCCCCGGGCTCCCCGGGGCCGCAGCACACACGAGGTTCCCCATCGTCCCCGCGCCCAGAGGCAGCACACTCCCCCCCCCCCCCCTAATTGACCCACTTTCGCCCCAGAGGCCAGCGAGTCCTTTCGAGGTCTCCAGGGGGGCTGTCTGGACCTCCAGGGGCTTCCAAGAGGGCTCACGAGGACGCCAAGAGGCCACCAAGATGGCCCAAGACGCTCCAGTCACCCCTGGACGGCCGTGGAGGCCACAATATGCTTCAAGAGAGCCAAGGGAGCTTTCAAGATTGCCCAAGGGTCGGGCGTTGGTAGAACTGGGTTTAGTGGAACCTGTTTTAGTGATCTCTACTGGGGGCGCCCCCCCGTCCCATTTCCACTACCTGGAACTGCCGTCACCCGAAAAAACACCAGCTATGGCAAACCTGGTTTAGTGATTCTGGCCAATTCGAAGGCTCCGGGGCCCTACCACTAACTGGGTCCCCTTACCCGGGGTCCTGGCCATACCCGAAAGGGGGCTCCGAGACGGCCCCAAGAGAGCCAAAGAGGTTCCAAGATGCCCCCCCAATAAACAGGCCTCTGGAGGAATCGGAGAGGACCCGAGGGAGGAGGACGACGAGGAGGAGGAGGAGGAGGAGGAGGAGAGGGAAGGGGACCAGACCTCTGAGAGAGCGCGTTTCACGGGCGCTTGCCTTGGGAACATTCGGCGGCGCGTTTCGAACCGGAGGGTGGGCCCCTCCCCTCCCAAGACTCGGCGCCGTCGATCAGAACCAGGGGGCCCCCCCTCCCCCCTATAGCCCCCCCCTCCCGAACCGCCCCCCCCCCCGCTCCCAAGGGGGGGGGTCCAAAACCCCCCCCCCGCGCCGGCGCCGGCGCTGGCGGCCGCCGCAGCGCCGCCAACGCAGCGACGATGACCCGAGAGGGCCCAGGAGTGGGGGGGGGGTTCAGATCCCCCCCAAGCGCCAGCGCCGGCGCTGGCGGCGGCCAGCAGCGCCGACGGCGGGGACGCAGCGACGATGACCAGAGAGGGCCGGAGGCTGCAGAGGGAACACACAAATCGCCATATCGAGCCCTCGCATGCTCCCCACACGCCCCCGAAACCCTTCTGACGAAACCTCAAAAGGCATCCATGAGAAGTCTGACCGTTTGCCAAAACACAGTGGCGGGAAGAGCCGAAGGCCACACCACCGCCGGTCGCCACCACCACCGCCACCACAGACCACCATACCATCACCACCACCACCACCACAACCACCACAACCCACCATCACCACAACCACCACCAGCACAACAGACCACCTCGCCACAACCACCACCAAGCACGCCACCACCACCACAATCCACCACAACCCACCACAACCACCACCACGACAAACCACCACACCATTGCCACCACCACCAACACCACCGCCACAACACCACCATCACCACAACCCACCACCAACACCACCACCACAACAAACCACCACCACCAACAACATCACCACCGCCACCATCACGACCATCACCATCACCACCTCAACCCACCACCACCACCACCACCATCTCACCACCACAGAACCACCACCACCACAGCCACCACCACCACCACAACAGCTCACCACCACCACCACCATCAATACAACAACCCACCACCACTACCACCACCATCACCACAATCCACCAAACCACATCCACCACCGCCACAATCACCACCACTACTACCAGCAGCACAACCCACCACCACCACCACAACCACCACAAGCCACCTCACCGCCACCACTACCACCGCCACTACCACCACCACCAGCACCCCCACCGCCGCCGCCAGCCGCCGCCGGCCCGAGGAGAGGGATGGAGGAGAAGTAGGGGGAGGGGGACGGGGGGGGGAGGGGTTCGAACCCCCCCCTCCGTCACGGGAAGGGGGGGAGGGGGGTTCGAACCCCCCCCTTCCATCCAGGTGGGGTGGGGGGAAGGGGTTCAACCCCCCCCCCCAAGCAACCACAGAACGCGCTCTTTCGGACGGACCTCTCATCCTCCCCCTCCTGCGTTTCCTCTTCTTCCTTCTCCTGATCCTCCCCTCCTCCTCCCGTTTCTCTGTTCCCTCCTCCTCCAGCCTCCCCCTCATTATTCTGCCCTCCTTTCCGCTTCCTCTTCGTCCTCGCGCGACCTGCGAATCTCAGGGCCCGCCGCAAGCAATCGTGTTCACTCTCGAGAGGTAGTAGCACATGTGTTTCCTTCTGCCAGCGGGCCGCGTAACTGGAGCCGTGCGCCAATGGTCTCAGTGACAGTCTGGAAGAACCTCGCTGGAGTTGTGCCATCAGTGCTCTGGGTTGCATGTGTCCTGCGAGGGCTTCGATTCAGCGGGCCTACTTTTAGGTCGGGCATGTCCCCCTACAAGAAGATGTTGGACGAAAAATGAAGAATACTCGAACAATATTCAAAAATAGCAAAAAAATCAGTGGATGTTTTGCGCTAAGGAGATCGACCGGGCACCAGGGAGTCAGGGAACCCAAAACCCAACGAAATCGGCCAGGAACCAATAAGTGGGAACCCGGGAACCCGCCAGAACCTGAAACCCGGGAACCCAGCCTGCTACCAAAACTGGCGGGAAACTTTCGCCAAATCTTTCAACTTCCGCTAGGACCCCTTTAGTGCAAACACTGATTGGGGAAGTAAACAAATAGTTCCCGGAGTATGTTTTAAAACTATGTTTGAACATTCCACCTGTAGAGGGACACGCCCGACTTAAGCCTACTTGAAGAAAAGATAGGCACCAAGAGAACCGGCAAGGGCCCCGATATGCCCTCCTCATTCTCATCGCATCGTCCGCGCCTCCCCCCCAACGCCTTCTTCGGCCTTCCTGCTCATTGTCCTACCTGTGTTACGACCCCTCCTGGTCCTTCTATTCGGTTACTCCCCTCATCCGCGGGAGATCAATGGGCAAGGCAACACATAACGCATCGGGCCGCAATCAATTCATATCGTTCACCCGACCGTCAGCCCAGAAGTTGAGCAGCGAGAAAGTTGCAAACACGCGAATTCAGCACGCAATGGTGTTGAGCACACGCGTTGGTGCCTGGTCGAAGGTATCTCCTCTCTGATATGTCGGTTTTCTGGCGTTGCGCGCCGAACAGCAAGCAGCGATTGCGTTGTGCCCCCTTTTGAGCTGCCTGCCCCTCTCGCGATTTCAGGGAAACGGATTTCCAAGACGATGTCTGGGATTTTCCCATCACAGCACTGAGAAGACCTGAAGCGCGCGCGAAGCGCGCGCGGGGTCCTAGTAACATAACAGGAGAAAGCAAAACAGGAGGGCGAGAGGATTCGGAGGAGCAGCAGCAGCAGCAGCAGGAAGGCCTGAAAACCACCGACAACCTCCCACTGAATCACAACAGCCCACCAGACATCCGATGCCCACATGCCCACATACTTCCAGCTCCTCCTCCTCCTCCTCCTCCTCCTCCTCCTCCTCCTCTGCTCTTCCTCATCCTGCCGTCCTCCTGCCTACATCCTTCTCCTCCGCCTCCCCCCATTCGCCTCCCTCCTCTCTCCTCCTCTTCCGCCCTCCCCTCCTCCACTTCCCCCACCGCCCTCCTCCTTCCCCGCCGTCCTGCCTCCCCCCCGCCCCTCGCCCCCGAACGCCCGCCGAGCCACGACTCCCTCGCCGTAGCGCGCCGGAGGGACATAGCCTGACGCGGTACGCGCCCTCCCCATAGCCAAGAGAGGGCCTGGCCCGACGCCGCCCCCGCCGGCAGCGCACCCCAGCGCCTTTGACCCCAATCTGACGCCAGGTTCGCGCGTGGCCGGAGGTTAACCCTGGCCTGAGGTGGCCCCTGCTTTTCCAGGGAGGCCCAACTAGCCTCCAGGTTACCTTCACAAAGCCTAGAGGGCCCTGAAGGCTCCAGGCTGATCCGAAAAGCTCGGGGAGCCTTGGGGCAGGATCACCTCTGACAACGTCCGACGGGCTGCTAAACCTGACGCCGCCCCCGCCAGCACTCGCCAGGCCCACCAAAAGTGGGACAGTGGATGCCAATTCGCTTCAGCAAAGAGAAAGGTCGTGTCGATGGCAGAATATGTGAAAACCTCCCCCCTTCCCAACCCCCACACGTGCCGTCTACTGGCACTCGAGTTCGCGCGGAGCAGTCGCAATATCAAGTTTGTATCAGGTTGCCCAGGGCAGATGTGTCGGGGAATATGCTGCAGTTGATGATACTGTGTTTGTATATTGACTTCGCCCACCCCCGAGAGTAGAAGTACAAACAGTAGTACCTGTCGGTCGGAAGAAGTGGGTAGAAACATGACGTAGGAAGGCGTTGGAAGTAGATTGGGTCTCCGCCCGCCCCCTGAAAAGGGGGGAAGACGGACAACCGCTCGACTCTTGAAGTAGGAGGGTGCGTGAAAGAAATTGGGATCTAGCTATCCCAAAACACCTACTCTCAACGACCGGCGTGTACATGAACCTCAGATTTGGAAGGTCCGCGCGGACTACCTCGGTCGGCACTGGACCCCCCTCCCCTGGCGCGCAAAGCGCCTCAGGGGCGGCACCCTCTGGCGCCGCCAGCGCCGAGCGAAGCAATCCGCAACTCTAGCGAAGGCTTATGGTCATGCCGCGTGTCATTGTTCGACAGAGGTCGGGGACCAACTGACCCGGGTCAATTGAAGCCCCGACCGGCCGGGCCTTGCAGGATCCAGCAGGACCCTGCGCCCAAACCCGGGTCAGTGTAGCCCTGGCTCTGCAGGATCCTGCGCAAGGTCCAGCGCTCTGACTGACCCCTGTTTGCACTGACCCCTGTCTCTTCAGCCCCGAAGATCGGGGGCGGGTCGCCAAATCCATGGATCGGGGGAGGTGCCCTCCCCCAGAATGCGGCCGGTGCCGCCTTGCTCGGCGGCGGACATCCGCGATTTCCCATGGAAACGGGCCCCGTCGCTAATCCAAGCCCCCTTGATCCGTGTTTGCGATCGCCTGAGAAGAGGGAGGTCCTGACGCGGTACCGGAGCCTCTCCCGCGCCTCCTCGGCCGAGGACTTCTCCGCGGGTGCGGCGGCCGCCTGCCGCGCCGTCGGCCGACGCCGTCAAAACGCTGTGGCCGCCGTCGCCGCCATCGCCGTCGCGGCCGCCGCCGTCACATTCGCCGTCGCTGCCGCCGTCGACACAGACGTCGCCACGGTCGCCAGTCACCTTCGTCGCCGTCGTCCCCGCCAGGGCCAGTCGGGCTCTGCACCCAAGCCCGGGTCAGTGCAGCCCTGGCTCTGAGGGATCCTGCAAGATCCCGCGCTCTGACTGACCCCCGTTTGCATTGAACCTCGTCTCTTGGCCCCGATTTCTGCACCGTTCGAGGGCGCTCGCCGTCGTCGTGTTGGTGTCAGTGCTTCGTCAGTCGTCGTCGTCGTCGTCGCGCTGGCGCCCTGCCGCGGCTCTTCGCTGGCCCGAGGAGCAGGGGGGAGGGGAGGCTTATTTCTCCTCGTCCTCCTCCTCCTCCTCGTCCTCCTCCTCCTCGTCCTCCTCCTCCTCCTCCTCCTCCTCCTCCTCTTCCTCTTCCCCCTCCTCCTCCTCCTCCTCCTCCTCCTCCTCCTCCTCCTCCTCCTCCTCCTCCTCCTCCTCCTCCTCCTCCTCCTCCTCCCCTACCTCCCCTACCTCCTCCTCCTCCTCCTCCTCCTCCTCCTCCTCCTCCTCCTCCTCCTCCGCCTCGTCCCTCTCGTCCTCGTCCTCCTCCTCCTCCTCCTCCTCTACCTCCTCCTCCTCCTCCTCCTCCTCCTCCTCCTCCTCCTCCGATCCGCCCCCTTCCATGCGCTTAGACAGGTCTAGCTCAAGATACAGATCAGTTCAGTCAGGATTCGGACGCAGAAGACGACATGATCCACAACACAATAGAGGACAACACTGTTCAAAACAACACGGCATGGCGCAACACAACCTCTGGCACGGTGTCATCGCCATCGATATCTTCAACACTGCCTCTGCCCATCACCCAAGCCAGGTATGGAAACTCTTCCGTGCTTCGCGTCGCCATACCCCTTTCTGCGTTCCTCTATTGACATGTGTATGCTGGGCCGCGAAACAGCGGCGTCAAACTCTTTGTCGTAAGGCGTCTTGGCCAGAGCACCTCGGTGGAGGGTTCCACTGCCCATCACCCGAGAAAGCTCAGTGGTTGGACGCTGGAACAAGATAGGCCACGCCAGCACGCAAGCTCCCCGGCTAACGCACGCCGCGGCCGCCAGAGCATCCCACGGAAGCAACTATGGCGAAACCCGCTCCCGCAGACGAGCCGCAGCGCCACCGCCCAGGCCTTCCAGCGCGCAGCGGGGAGACGCGTTTGTCCAGTAGGTGGCAGGTGCAGTGGCTGGCGGTGGCACGGTACTCCACGTTTTAGGTGGCTGCAGCTGGATGCACAGTGGCATCATGTCCTCTTGCGCGCATCTACCAGCCACTGCAAGTTCCACAGCTGCTGCTATAACTGCTTCTGGTCCTCCCTCCGCTGCCTCCTAAAGAGAAACCCAAACTCATGCACAAGCAAACTTTCGGAGGTCCGCGCGGATTGCTTGGATCGGCGCTTGGCCCCTCCTCTCTGGAGCGCGCGGCGCCCAGCGCTGAACCAAGACATCCGAGCAGACCTCCGAAAGTTTCTGCTCATCCTGTTCTCTGCTATTCGATCGTCCTCTCTGCCCCTCTCCCCTCCTGAGGGGCAACGCCAGGGGTGACTGGCTCAGGAGGGAAACTATCGATCCGAAATCGGCGCTACGTCGCCGATAGATCGGCGAGAGGCCCCCGATGCCGACCCCGCACGTACTTGGGCTTGGTGGCTCGGCCAGCAGGCCCCCATCGGCGAGCAGTGTGCGATTGGGGGTCGGTGCATCCGCCCCTGAGCTTCATCCCCCCTAACATTGCCTCTGATCTTTACTCCTCTGTCCTCCGCCTCCTCCTCCTCCTCCTGCTCCTCCTCCTCCTCCTCAGCCCGGCGGCAATGCCGGCAATCCTGCCTTAACTCCACACCCGTACACCATAGAGGCATCGTCCTCCAGGACACAGCCCGGCGGCGAGGCTGGCGGTCCTGTTCCCAACGCTGGCACACCAAAGGCACTGACCTCCGGGACATAGCCCGGCGCAAATGCCGGCGGTCCTGCTGCCGTCCCGTACGCACATCAGAGGTGCTGACCTCCAGGACACAACCTGGCGACCATGCCGGTGGTCTTGCCTCTACTCAACATTCGTGCACCATATATAGACGCATCGTCCTCCAGGACACAGCCCGGCGGCAAGGCCGGCGGTCCTGCTCCCACTCAACACTCGCACACCAGAGGCACTGACCTCCAAAACATAGCCCGGCGCAAATGCCGGCGGTCCTGCTGCCATCCCATTCGCACACCAGAGGCATCGACCTCTGGGACAGCCCGGCGGCAATGCCGGCGGTCCTGTTTCCACCCCACACTCGCACAACAGAGGCATAGACCCCCAGCGGAAATGCTGGCGGTCCCGCCTTCGTTTTACCTCTCCAGTGCGGCGCGTTTCTACTTGCGTTGGGCTCAAATTCCAGACTCGCTGCATTGTATAACGAGGATTTTGTTGTCAGACACCCGTGCATCATTGGTTTACCTTTCAGGGGATCGGGTCCTTACGTTTCGGCTTTCGGAGGCCTCTGGAAGAGGTGGCGGGCCAAAAGGAAGGGTCGCCGCGCCATGCCCCTCCAGGGGTCCACGGGCGGGCACGCACGGCCGGCCCATGAGAGCCGAGCCCGAATTCCCGCTGCGCCACTAGCGCCGACGCCTTTGTCTTCTCTCTCTCTCTCTCTCTCCCTTCTCTCTCCCTCTGGAGGGGATGAGAGGAAGTAGGAGGAGGGGGCTTTGGACACCGTACTCAAAAGTACATTTGAGGAACGCGTGCGGCCACGTAAATGTCCACCGGACAATTCGGCGTGCTGACCACACCAGAGGGCTCATCAATCAGAGCGTGGAGCACGCACGTTCCGCATTGTGAGGGGCGCGCTCGCATACGACCCCGGCCTGTTCCCATGCGAGCGCCTATCGCACCACGCAAACTCAGGACTTTCAGGATGAGACTTCCAAGCGGTCGTGGATCACCGAACTCTATGGGTCGCCTCATCCTTAAAGATGGGCTTAGGCGCCCTGAAGCCTGTAGCGTCCTTGGCAGTCCTCCTCTCTGAAGCAGGCTGCCCGCGGCCCTTCGCTGCTTTCTGCCCGAGGCGAGCGCGGGGAGAACGCCATCTCTACGCCGACGCCTCTCGTGGCCAGGCCCAGCTCTGCGCCCAGGGCCGACCCCCGCCAGGGAGCCCAAGGGGCCGCGGTCGGCGCATCGCCGGCACCCTCTGGCAGCGGCCCGCAGCCGTGCGCCCGGCCCCTCGGTGTCTGAACCACGCCACGCCCTAGTCGCCCCGCCAGCTCCTCGCCATGCAGCAATTGGGCTCCTCCTGCTCCTCCTCCTGCTCCTGCTCCTGCTCCTCCTCCTCCTCCTCCTCCTCCTCCTCCTCCTCCTCCTCCTCCTCCTCCTCCCCGCACCGCCTCCTCCACCTGCTCCTCCTCCTCCTCCTCCTCCTCCTCCTCCTCCTCCTATACAATTACACAACATGAATAGTACTCTCCTCTCTCCCCTGGTGACGTCTGGGAAACATTCGGCCTCCCTCCGCGTGCTGGTTTTTGTACCCGCGCAGGATTCCCGGGAGTTTTGTTTTCGCTTGGATGTTTTTTCAGAATGCTGCTCTCGCTCAAGCGCTGGTCTCCTTTCGGGCTACCGCTCGTTCCGGATCGTGCTCCCACCGCAACGCTGGCGTCCTTATTTCCAGCGCCATGCCACGGCATGGTTTTCGGTTCTTTCAATTAGGCCCCAAAATCTAAAACATGCACCCCGAAACAATCAGAAGTGATTTCACATTCGGTGTCGATTCGTTAACTTTTTGGGTCCCAGAAGCCCCCCACTACACTTGGGGCGTCGCCACGCCATGCTATGTCAGGCTACGCGTCCTCCGAATCGTACTCCCGCTGCAACGTTGGCCTCATTATCGCGCTTCCGCTCGTTCCGAATCGTGCTCCCGCTGCAGCGCTGGCGTTATCATTTCCAGCGAGCGCCATGCCACGGCATGGTTTTCGGTCCTTCCAACTAGGCCCCAAAATCTAAAAATTGCCCCCCCACCACAGAAACAACCACCGGAAGTGATTACACATTCGGTGTCGATTCGTTGACTTTTGGCCTGCAGAACACCCCCCCCCGCACTTTGGGGCGTCGCCACGCCATGCTATGTCAGGATACGCGTTGATCTTCAACACCATGCTATGCCATGTAATGCTATGCTCTGCTAAGACATCCGACTGTGCAAATCCATATGATATCTACGGCATTGTAGGGGATGGGAGGGAGGGTTATGATGTCAGATATGACGCGAGCGCACCTAGCGTGCCTCCTCCTCCCCCTCCTCCTCCTCCTCCGCCTCCTCCCCCTCCTCCTCCCCCTCCTCCTCCTCCTCCTCCTCATCCCCTCCTCCTCCTCCTCTTCCTCCTCCTCCTCTTCTTCCTCCTCCTCCTCCGCCTCCTCCTCCTCTTCCTCTTCCTCCACCACCTCCTCCTCGTCCTCCTCCTCCTCCCTCTCCTCCACCCCCCTCCTCCCCCTCCTCCTCCTCCTCCTCCTCCTCCTCCTCCTCAGACGCCCGCAGACGATTTTTGTTTGTACCTGCAGGGAGGGTGGAAATGAATCAAATCGCTGGCTCTCGGTGGTGGTTTATACCTCGCCACCCGGCCCTAAGGCCCAGGAACGGTCCATCGGAGGGTGTCTGTGCACGTACTCCTGTGGCGCATGAGCGACGGCGCAGCCCGGGGCCGCTGTCGGTGCAGCGCCGGCATCCTCCGAGGGCGGCCCCCGGCCGCGCCCCGTCCCTGGGTGCCTGCGCGATGGCGCAGCTCATAGCAAGGGCTTTTTGGGTTTAGGGTCTCGGGTTTCAGCCACGGAACACGGGTCGCCCTGTGGGCGCGCCTGCTTGGCCCGCTGGCCGCGTGTGGTGCAGCAGCGGCGGCCTTCGCGCCCGGGCTGGGGCCCGCACCCCACCCCAAACACGAACGGCTGCTCTGGCACGGGGCCGCTCCTGGCGGGCGACGAGCGGCAGAAGAGAAGCTGCTCCGCCGTCGAGGGCGCCTGCCCCCCTGGCGGCTGGAGAGCTAATGCCCCTGCGCGGCACCGCAGGGGCATCAACTTTGCGTCCGCCCGGGGGGCAAGCGCCCCCCGGCGGCGGAAAACGTGTTATTCTATACCTCTCTTCGCCCCCGAGCACCTCCGCGTGCAGCCGGCAGGCCCACGCGCCCAGGAGCCGCCGTCCTGCGGCCCCCGGCGGGGCCCGCGGCCGCAGCCGTGGGCCGCCAGGCGCCGCCCGGCATCGCCGCGGCGGTGGCCTTCACCATCCGCAGCCCCCCGTGAGGCGAAGCCAGGACGAACACTCGGGCGAGGAGAAATCGGGAACCTCTGAGATCCCGCGGCTCGGGCGCCGCGGCCTCCTCGGAGCGTCCTGGAACGCGCTGATCGGCGGCGAGCGAGAGGAGTGAGAAGGAGAGGGCCTTCCTAGAAGGCTCCAAAGTCCCCTGGCTTTCTGAGAAGTTTGCCGAGCTTTCCCCGAAGACATCGAAAACCTCTCAGAAGGCTGGAAGCCTTCTGAGAAGTCCCGCTGCCTTCTGGGAAGGCCTTCTCCTTCTCACTTCCCCCCTCGCTCGCCGCCGAGCTGAGAGCGTTCCAGAACGCTCTTCCACGGATGTATCCTCGTCCTGGCCCCGTCGGACCCCGCTGTCCCATCCTGGCGGCGGCGGCGACGACGGCGACGTCCGCGGCTGGGGCCGAGGCGCAGAAGGCAAATTGGCAGTGCCTAGCCGGCCACCTCAAACAGTGGGTGGCGCAGCTGCTTCCTCCCGCGCCTGGATGCGCGCCGCCGGCGCCAGCATCCCAGGTGTCGAGACGAGGCGCGAAGCGAACGCGAGGACGACGGTCCTCCTGCGCCTGAGGAGAAGGAGGCGTGCTGAGGGTACGCACTTCCCAAAGGCTCAAAGGCTTCGGTTGTTATTGGCCTTCGTGCCGGCTGTACTTCAAGGCTGCCCTGGGCTCCCGACATGGCCCAGGCCAGGCTGGGGTAGCGCTGACACAGGTCAGCCCGTCGCCAGAGGTCCGCTATCCCCTCGGCAGCAACAGCGACAGCGACATCGACAGAGACAGAGACAGCGACGACGACGACGACGACTTCCAGAAATATCTGGATGCGATGTCCCTGGAGGCCTCCAAAGGTCCCTGGAGGCCCCTGACAGGCCTCTGACCGAAGGCCCGAAAAACTACCAAACACGCCCGCTGGAATCCTCAGTCCTCAACCTTTCGAACCTCTGAACCTCTTACCGTCAAAGAAAAGTCGGCTACACGCAAGAGTGACCCTGGGTAAGAGTGACCTTTGGTGCGCGGCTTTTTGGGGGACCGCGGGGGGACCAAACCCAAGCGCGCGAGACGCTATCATCGCATCGCGTTCGGCGATCGGGGGGCCCCAATGGACCCGCACCAAAGGTCACTCAGGCGAAGGGTCATTCTTACGTCTCGTCGAATGAAAGGGCTCCGAGGGAACCGCGTCCTGGTCCAGGGGTTCTCCCCGGGACCCACTTCCCATCCCAAGCCGATCTTATTAACGGCCCTGGGGGGGCCCCGGAGGCCGAAGACGGCAGGCAAACTCGGGGCACCTCCCTCTTGGGCCTCCTGGGTCCATGGGAACGCCTCTCAGAAGGCAGCTCTTCCTTAGAAGGTGCCGGCCCTGTATCTACAGACAAGGCCGGCGCCTTCTGAGAAGCAGGGGTGCTTGTACTAGCCTCGTCAAACATACACAGAAGACTTCTGAATTCGGTGATTGTGGGGTCAGCACTACTCCAATGCTGACGGATGCCTCCTCGGACGCGGCGTTGTCCAAAAACTGGCCCCACCCTCTTAGCAGTGAAGAACGCGCTGTGCCCGTAAGCATCGTGCTCCAAGATTTCAACTTTAGGGGGCCACGTGCGAACTCTACCCCTACCCCCCACGATTTCTGAGGGGGAGGGTGGGGTTTACTCAGTCCAGGAGCTCCAGAGCGAAGTGAACCCCACCCTCCCCCTCAGGAATCGTGGGGGGTAGGGTGTGGCCCCCTAGGGGACTCGGGCTGGCCTGGCGGGGCCACCAAGAAAACGACGAGACCCAATCTGAAACTTGGCGCGAGCTTCTGCTGCAGACGTCCCACGAAAACTGGACCGTCAGAATTCAGGACGCTCTCGTCAAGAAGCGTGGGCAAACCCGAGTTCCGGCGTACTCGAGTCTTACGTTCCCCCGAACCAGCCCTCCTCCGACTGAGGTGAGGGGGAACGTTAGGGAGACTGACCCCGCCGATAGATCGGCCACAGGCCCCCGAGAGCAAATCCGCAGTTTCCCGGCCCCCAGGGCCCATCCCCCCCATGTCGTTGCCCCCTGGTTCTCGAGTCATGTCGGGCGGATGCTAAGGGGGGGCGGCCCAGATTGGGGGTGAAGAGCGAGGCCTTCAAGGAGCCCTGCAGGGTCCCTTGTGGAGCCAGCAGGTGCCCGAAAGAGAGCTCCTTTGGGGCCTTTTTCCCCACCCCCTATGTGGATCACCCCCCCCCCCTTACCACCCGCCCGATCAGAAGTCCGCGCCCTGGCGGCCGTTCGGGACGATCCAGGTACCCCCCGCCACGCCCTCGGCGGGGCGCAGCCGCTGAAAAAAGCGTTCCGAGGCTGACAAGCCGCCGAGAACCGACGAACACGTTGAAGACCTCGACTCCTCGACTCCTCGACCTCGGACCTCGTGGTGGGCCAGAGCCCGCGGAGCCCGAGCCCATCCTGCCCCCTGAGCCAATCCCCCCTCGACGCTGCCCCTGACGACCCAGGGCCGCGGAAGCGGAACCGAACCGCCGCGTGCCTCCGGCGGCGCCAAGGGCGCGCTCTCGGGCGGCGGGATCCCGAGGCCGAGCAGCCCGTGCCGCTCCAGCGCGCCCAGGCAGCGGTCCGTCGCCCAGCGGAGGCCGCTCCTGCAGACCTCGCGGCGAGGCGGGGGGCCGAGGTCGACGACGGCAATGACGACCACGGCGGCGGCGTCGGCATCGGCGGCGGCACTGGCGGCGGCGGCAGCGAGGAAGTTGTCACTCCGCCCTGACGGCGGGGCAGACGAGGGCCAGGGCGAAGGCAGAGCAGGCTGCGCTGGATCGAACGGAGGGGATCGGATTGCCAACGAATCGTCCCGAAACGAATCGAAAACGGATCGCCGCGCCTTGCTCCGCCCGGCCCTGACCGATGCCGGTGAAATAAACCGAATCGAATCGGAACCGCGCCCCAGCCGGCGAATCGAACCGCATCGAATCGGATCGTGGGTGGCCCTGCAAGGTGGAGTCGAGCAGCCCATCTGTCAGCGCACTCCGCTTTCGCGCGGCTTCTCACCAGCTAAGATGTCAATAGGCTGTCGGGTGTGGCCACGTGCCACGTCGGCGAGCGCGATCCTGGCTCTCCCTCCTCCGTCGTCGTCGCAACCTTCTCACTGCTCGCTCCTCACTCCCATGTCGAACGACGTCTGTGATACACGCCAGACAGCTGAAAACCACTCCCTCGGGGTGGACAAAGGGACCCCACGGGGATCCACCGCGTGAGCCACCCGAGGAGGGGCCGAAACGAGAGGCGCGGAGGCCCTCCTCCCGTCCTCCCCGTCACCTCTCCTCCGTTTCCTCCCGCTCCTCAGTCCCCCGCTCATCCTCTAGGTTCTCATCCTCCATCTCGTCCGCCCTTCCCCCCTTCGTCCCCATCACGCCCGCCCGCCCCCCCCCCCCACCTGGTGCAACAGGTAGATGTGCCCGCCGTGGTAGAGTCCAAGCACCCCCTCAGTCTTGTACCTCAGCTCCGAGCCGTGGCTGCGGGATGGGCGTGGAGAGGTGGAGGCGAGCACGACGACGACGGCGAGCAGGCGGCGCGGCTCTGCTCGTGGACGAGCAGAAAGACACCCGAGACGTCTCACTTCCAATGCTCTGCATCGTGGACGAGCGATCAGGACGAAGAGTATTGGGCATAGAACCTATTCTCCATCATTCGCGACAAAGTCCGTGACTGGCCCCACCCCCCCCGTGCCCCACCCCTGGACACGTCACGATTCGCGCTGGCGTTGTCTGGGAATCCAGCCAGCCCTTTAGTGAGTGGTTTAGGGAGTTTCCTCTTCCAATCTCCTTTTCTTCCCCTCCCCAGACACCCTCCCCCTGGGTCTGGACGGGGCGTTTCGCGAGTCGTTGGGGCGTCCAAGATGACCTTGGCGAGAACGCCACAATCATTGATTTTACCTAGGGGGGAACTGAATGTACTATGACCCCTCCTTTGAACGATCTCTTCCAAGATGGTCCCAAGATGGCCCCCGAGGATGCCCCAAAAAGGCTCCAAGAGGTGCGCAGGAGGCCCCAACAGGCCCCCACGGTACCCCCAAGATGCCCCCTGAGAGGCTCTCAAAAGACCCCCCAGAGGCACCCGAGACGCCACAAGAGGCCTTGGCGAGAAGGCCACACCATTGATTTGACTTAGTGCCACATTTCGGCCTCCTGGGAGGGGGGACCTGAATCTACTACGGCCCCTCATTTGAACGATCTCTTCCAAGATGGTCCCATGATGGCCCCCGAGGGGTGTCCCAAGAGAAGGCTCCAAGAGGTGCCCAAGAGGCCCCAACAGGCCACCACGGCGCCCCCAACAGGCTCTCAAGAGACTCCCAAAACGCCCCAAGAGGGCCCCCAGAGGCACCCGAAACGCCCCAAGAGGCCTGGGCGAGAAGGTCACCATGATTGATCGTAGTAGGTTGTTGCCGCATGCTGGCCTCCTGGTGGGGGACCCTAGGTAAGAAGGCCCCCCTCCTCCTCCTTACCCTTCCTCCTTCCCTCTTCTCCTCCCTCCTCCTCCCTCTTCCTCCTCCCTCCTCCCTCTTCCTCCTCCTCCTCCTCCTCCCCCTCCTCCTCCT